CCTTGCGTCAGGGTTGCCCCCTGGCCCCTTCTCTGTTCGTCATACAGCTAGAAATCTTTCTAAATATGGTAAGACACCACCCGCACTTCGTGGGTTTACAGATCTCCCCAACTTACTCTATCAAGGTATCGGCCTTGGCAGATGACTTTTCTGCCATTTCGGAAAATTCGGTAGCATCGTTATCAGCATTGGAACAATGCCTTTCCACTTACGAACTGGCCTCAGAAATGAGGGTCAGTTGGCAAAAATCAGTGGCTCTCACCCCCAACGGTGAGCAGCTAGCCCTGGATTTGGGAATAACGGTTAAACCTCGCTCGGCGGTAGAGAGATACCTGGGAGTACAAGTCTCCTTTGAGGATCCTGCAGACATTCAAAGCTCAGTAATCGAAAACACAATTAGAGACGTCGGTGCCAGTTGGTCCAAAACCCGCTTTCTTTCGTTGTTTGGTAGGGCAATGGTGATTAACACCTTCATCTCTTCCAAACTCTGGTTCATCTTATCTATATGTGCACTATCACCAAACTCAGATACAAATATCAGGAGACTCTTGACCCACTTTCTGTGGAAAGGAGACTCGGAAACCCAATCGGTCCTGTCCAAAGTAAGTTGGTCAAAAGTTACAGAAAAAAGGAAGGCAGGAGGCCTGGGTATTCTGGACCCGAACACACAGAACAAAGCACTACTAGCTAAATGGCCTGTCAGAATGCTGACAACCAAAGAAAAGCAACCTTGTATCTTACTGGCCCAAGCATCCCTAGCTAATTAATGGAAGTTCTCTAATCCCGAAGCTGTTTGGCAGACCTTGTTAATGAAACCTTTCACTGCCGGCACCTCGACTAAGACCTGGGAAGGAATCCTCAAGGCATGGGGCAAGATGCTCCCTCAAAACCTGGAGGAACCTTCCACTGTGCATGAAATACTTAACACCTGTCTCTTCGAAAACACAGCGATCTGTAACCAAGCAGGGCTTCCGTTCTCCGTAGCCAAAGCTCCTGGCAACTTTGGCCGAAAGTGGATGCAACGCGGCATTTGGCTCATCCGCCACATCTTGGACGCCGATAAGAAAGCATGGAAGAAAGGAGCAGAGCTCAGGCTTCAACTTGCAGGTCTTCATCAAGTGGAATCTCACCTAACGGACCTGATCTCTGCTATCCCCTCGAAGTGGTCCACGATCATCTCCAACCCCCCCAAGAAGTACTTCGAACAACAATGGTTCAGCTCAACAGTCGAGTCAGTTCGTTACTTCAGGGTAGACACTGTATGCGACAATGACGAAGTGTGGCTCTCAGAATGGACTCTCCAGGACTCAATGCTTCAACAGGTCAAGGACCCTGCGCCCAGGTCTCTGGAGGGGCTGCAGGAAATTACGGTCCAGCAAGACCGTGACGGTGCATTCATTATCAGGACTCAGTCCTACACAGATCTGGAGTGGAAAGTAGACACAGACAAGATTGGATGGTTAATCTCAACCCCAGGCAAAGAGGTCGCCAAGATTCCACTGAGAGATTACACGTCCAAGAATGGGTACAACCTTCACTCTCAAGCTCATTCTATTCAAGTAGGTCTCACAATTAACTGGCAGCATAGAGTAGCATCCCCAAATCTGAGACATATTTCATATTCGTGGATTTTTTTCTTTATCCAGCTCTTGCTGTCGTCACTGGAAACAAAGGTGGGGGGGCTCCAATGGTTACATTTGCACTCATGTGTCCCCACTGCCCTCTGGGTTTCAGAAAAAGGTATGGATATCCATACGGTGTGTGACATCTGCCCCCATCGGTGCCTGGAAGACTGGCTACACCTCTGGTGGGAATGTGTTATTGCTAAAGGCTTTTGGGAGTTTCTAGACTCCCTATGGGAGAAAGCATACTCCACGTCAGGTTTTTGGAGCAAGGACTTAGTAGTTACAAGTAGAATCCCAGAGCAGTTTAAGAATCATCAGGCGGGTGTGGTGGCCCAAATATTCAGGAGTAGGGCCTTCTGGTGCCTATGGATAGCACGGCGGGATAGACGTTTCCTCAATTCCAAACCTTCCCTGCAACCTCTTATTGCTAAATTCCGGCACTCGCTGAGAATGGAGATCACAGCTGACTGGTGTAGAACCAGTAGAAGCTCGGCATCCATGGAACTGGCTAAATATAATTTCGAGAAGAAATGGTCCTCACCTTATAACTGGGCGGGGCTCTCCAACGGTAATAAACTTTTTTACTCTGTTCTTATATGGGATTTTCCCCACAGTCCTAGTATCCTAGACTGCCTATCTGACAGCGCTTCGCTGAGAGGGACTGGTAATCTCCATTAGGACTGGGTATTTCAGTTGTATGAATGTGGCTCTTCATTTTTCTCCCAATGTGCTCGGATATCCATTAGCAGTTCTTTCACCGGGCAGTTTGTGGGGACCCCGGCCCCAATTTATCAACTAAGTTGTTATAAGGGACGCTGGGCCCGGTTCCCAGCAAGTGCTGCTCCCCACTAATAGATCGGAGCCAGCTTTAACGGGGAAAACAAAAAAAAAAAAAAAAAAGGAAAACGACCTGTTTCATGTTCCTCACTTCCTGGCCATATACATTCCTCAAAGCACTGGTGACCTGAGGGCCTTCCCCACGTAGGTGGATTCAAAGTTCCTCGTTTCTTTACTTTTTTATTTCTTCTTTTTCTTTTTTCTTTTTTTGGCCTCCACCCCTGCCCCGAGCCCCCCACTTCTTCGGAGGAGGATACTCTTGAGACTTCGCGTTTGCCTGTGAAGGGTAGTGCCTACGAATCTCGGCTGTGGCCGAGACATCTCGGCCCTGGCCAATCTGAGGTGTGGCCGAGACATCTCGGCCGTGGCCAGTCGGGGGTGTGGCCGAGACATCTCGGCCGTGGCCAGTCGGGTGTGGCCGAGACATCTCGGCCGTGGCCCAACCATGGAGATGTTTTTTTTTTTCTCCCAGCCGCGGACGGCGCGGCGCTTTGTGGTACGCGACCGGAAAAAAAAAAAAAAAAAAAAAAAAAAAAAAAAAAAAAAAAAAAA